GAAAACTGAATGAGCGGAAGAAAGAAAAGAAGGAATGGAATGGGGAAGTTAAGAACGTGATGTTTGTCTGAAGCATCCAATTAAGCAGTTGCTCACCTAATGCAGTTCACCGGTTTCAAGTTCCAAATTTGATCTCTGATTGGTGCCGGTACAACTGCGCCGAGAAAATCAACAGACGTTGTATACCTGAAAATACGGCAATCGGATCTCTTTTTTTCACGACATTTACAAGGCTGTTTGAAAATCTAATGTACGTTCTGGAAACTGAGTACAAGAATACTAACGAACCTGGGCGGCCAGACCTGGCAGCGTCCATTGAAAAAAGCCTGCTCTGTCATGGCGCACGCTTGCCTCTCAGTCGGTAAATCACATATCCGTTCGGAGATACCAAATGCATTGCCACTGTCACGTTTTTTCATTAGTTAATAAATTTTCTTAGCCTAGTGCTACAACCAGCACTTAGCACAGGATTGTGAGGTGCTGCTCCAAAATTGCTTGAAAATTCATGTTTAAGCATTTAACAAGCATATGTCGAGTTGCGTAAAAATTTTATATTTTTCCTTTCCCTTTTGTATTTTTGTTTTTTCGAAATCGTGATATTTTATAATTTTGACCCAGGCTGGAATGCACAAGGCTTGCTAGTGTGATCACGCGTTTTTGCACCAGACTTGAAATACTTTAACTGCATGAGTGTTCTTTGCTTTACACCTACTTTTTGCACTCACTAGCAAATCAAAGTAAATTTTGCATAAAGGAAATGAACAAGTTCCGTCTAACGGTCGTCCTTTGAAAGTTACTTGGCTTTCAGGTGAGCAATTTCCCTGGCAGAGCTTTTAAGTGCTCCTATGTGAAAGCCGTACATGCCTGGAAGCTGAATTAGAAATATTAAGCTGTATGTTGGCAGGGAACATTGCTCTAAAATTTCAGCTTTCTAGCTTTTCTGAGTCCCGAGTTTGTAATTTCTCTGCCAAAACTTTCACATGTTGTACGTGGGTACCACGCATAGCGGGGAGCTGAATTTGAAACCTTTAACTTATATATGCACAGAAAATACCCCTTTAAAGTT